CTCATTATGTAACTTTATCAGTGATATGTTGATAAAGTACTTACATTGAGAAGTTTCAATTATTGTTGGTTGCATGTGGTTGATGTACAATAACAATGCACTTTCTATCAAGTCATATGGTCAAATTGGGTCAAATTCATCTCCATTGTTAATTATGATGACCAACTTCTACAAATAATATCAGGTAAATTTAAACAGTGACTCAGGCAGCAGCCAGGGACTAAGATATTTATGCTGGCACTTGGACTCTTTTATCATCTTGAGGAAACTTTGAATTCAATTGTAACATTGGGAAACCCCTTGCTGACATAAAAATCAAGATCTGAAATCATTGTATTTATTCCTAAGTGGATATTCTGTCATTCAGTGTTTAAGGACATTCCGTCATTCCACCGTTCCTTTGTTCCACAGTTCCATCAATCCCTCAAATATGGTCACTTGAGCAAGTGACTATGAGTAACTCTCGGCTAAGCGTCAAATTTACATCACAAACTCTTCAAACCAAACCTTCTATGCTGTTTAAAGATTGAGAATTTTACAACATTACAAAGACAAATATACGCAAGTTTCCTTCCTCTAACGAATCAGTGGACAGAGAAAGCAGGGAGATCGATATTTATATCTATTTATTTGGCTTACCAATGGCGTTAGGAGTCGAGCGCCTCACAACTTCGAAATCTGGTGTGGGTTTCAATGCGACAGCATACTAGCAGCCAAAGTAGATGAGTTTAACACTTTGGATAGCTGATTGACTATGTCTCCGAAAGGTTTCGTGGAAATCGGCTGTTGTTCAGCTGAATTTCTCTTAGCTGCTCACGCGTCTCTGCACTCCAGTTGAGTCCATAGTATGTCAGCGTCATCTCTAATAGCCATTGTTATTGGAGCGATTTGATGCGTATTTCCGGCGGTGTGTTTGACGGCATTGGCATTTAGAGCTAAAGCCTACAAGTTGGATGGAAAGTAAATTATAGCTACGAATAATCAATAGTGACTTCTGTGGTTTTTTAGCTGGTAGTTTCTACGGAGTAGGAATGCCGTGAAGAAAGCAATAAGGAAGTTTGTCACTCCTGAGTTAGTGTGCTCTGGTCACCCCAGGGACTCTTTCAACCCAAAGCGCTGGCTAATTGACACGGGTGGATCAAAATGGTGTTGTTAGTTTTGAACACCAGTCCTTTAAAGATCAACACTACCACAACTTTTTTTGCGTTGTCTTGAAAAGAGACCTGCCAACCCCTGGTAAACGAAAAAACAATCAGGAGCTTCTGCAACAAGTGAAGGGATTCTACATTTTTCCTGATCAAGATTGAAGGAACCTTTTGTTGTTTATTACTTACCGGTATTAAAATATCACCTTGCTTTGTTTGCGTTCCATGCTGTGATACGATGCCGCTTTCATTGATGATCAATATAAATCGTTACCTAAGACGAGCTCACACCAAGGGGTTCTTGCTACCCGATAAGCCAACTCCGGCGTAAAAATGATGGGCAAAGAGCCATCGTGACTAAAACAAAAACAAATAGTGTGGCATAGAGGGTGAGATCTGGCGTCGGCCGATTGCGAAGGAAACTCTGACTCTTCTCTTGAGATTGTGAGCGGCAACGTTTCTGAGAACCTCGAGCTTCTGCCCGCCCAGAATGTTTACCGTCGTTACTTTCATCTGCGACATCCTTACGCTCGTACTCGCTTACCATTTCCCAACAATTCTCTACCGAATCAGCGATAAGCTTCCACAAGGCTTTCTCGACTTGTGATGGTGTGGATTCCAGAAGTGAAGAAGCGGTCTCAATGTGCTCAAGGACTTGATTGTTAACTTCAAACTGCTTCTTGTTGCCCTTTTTCTTGAATTTTGACGCTGATGAAGCCGAGACCTTCAGTTTCTACGGGCCGCGTTTCGTTCCTTGGTCAATTCTCTGTTCAAAGTTGAAAATCCGACTCTTAGCTCCGCGTTGATGGCTGTTAAACTTTTTGTAAGGTTTACTTCTGACTCGGACGGCATTGTGAGGAATAAAATTGAAAACTTGAGATCCGAGATGCATACATTACAACCGACAGACTTTCTATACACTACAACAAAAGAGTTAATTAGCGCCATACCAGCGCGCCTGTGTTCATGCCAACAGGAAATTATTTCCATTCTCTGCCACTGCCACCTAAAGCCTCGTTCCACTGAATGTAAAAGCATGTACATTTTGGGGGTACTTTTATTTCTGAATGTCACACTAATAAACGCTGGTGCTATTTTAAACCAACTTTTGTAATAACAGGGTATTATTTTCGGATGGGTCAGATCACCTACCTAATTTCTATTTTCTTTCAGAAAAAGTAAGTTATGGTAGTACAGTTGCCTAGACCACCTATCGTGGGGTAACTTCCTTTAACATGGAGCGAGAGATTTAGAAGTAGTATTTCATAAACGAGGGCAAGTGTGGTAAAATTTCCGCACAGCCCCATACTTCATTATGCATTCAGTTCTTGAATAGAGAAAACAAGGACTAAAACAATACATTGCCATTGGGAAAACAGATTTGTTTTACAATAGTATGGGGCTGTGCGGAAATTTTACCGCAAGTGTTTCATCAGGGTTTTTAAACGCGAGGAAACTGATGATTTTATTGGTTCGTAAGTGTTTAGAGACTCTGATGAAGCACGAAGTCCGAATTTCTGAAATGGCTTCTCAAAAGGGTCTAATTTATCAATAATTTACCCGAAAACAAACACAAAAACTCACGCAAATATTTAGTTTTTTCTTTCTTTTGCTTCATCATTACAAGTAGATATTTGCTAGTCAGTGTGATTAAAGGTGTCTGCGTTTCTTTACAACTTCGGCTTTTTAATTAAAGGCGTCACACTTTGCATCGGCCTCTGCAGTTGCACCTTTAAAGAATGAGGGATGGAGCTACGGTCAAGACTTCTCAGTTTCGACCGTCAAACAATTGCCAAGATGATGTTTCTTTGCGCGAACGTTCGAAACCTGAAAATACACAGTACAAAGATAGGGGGCTGTTGATGTTTTCCGAAACTGGCAAGCTGCGCGCCAGAAAAAAAAATCCTTTACTCGAACTAGGGTGTGTTCAAAGATGTTCGCCCTATGCAACGCCTTGAAGATGAAGTGTTTAGTAAGTTTATGGAATTTTTTACAGCAGCTTATGGCAATTGTTTTCCGATAAAAAGAGAAGGAAGAAAGGAAGCTGTCTTTAGGAAAATTAGGAAGTATTGGTTAAAAAAAAGCCTCTTAAAATTTATTTAGATAAATCATAGGTTATAAAAACGATTCCTATCTTACCCTTTCTACCGTCTCATGAGTGTCAATATAAATCATTCGGAAACAAACTGAATCATTTACATAGAACAGCGAAACGTGATTTCTACGTTCAAGAACTTACTTGGCTTGCAAATCTAACGCTTCGGACACGTGGAGAATCCTCAATGAGGTAATAAATCGATGTCCTAGATAGATTTGTTTACTTTTTGCATTTAAGGTTACTAATTATGAAATTAGCGATCTTGTTGAAATTGCAAATGGCTTTTGTGATTTTTGCCCTTGCCTTGTACTAACTTTAGCAGAAAAAAAAAACCGACTTCCAGCAGGTCTTAACAGCAGTTAATGCAGTGTTTTTACCACTTGCTGCTAAGAAATTATTAAGATCTGTGCTAGCTTACGCCTTGGCATAGCTACTGGGTTGGACGATATTATTATAGATGTTGTAAGACAAAACATTGATATAATTTCTAATCCTTTAACATATATTTTCAAATTATCCTTAGCCTCAGGAGTTACGCCCAAAGAGCTTAAGATAGCTCGTGTTATACCTTTATTCAAATCTGATGACTAGAGTCTCTTTGTTAACTACAGACCCATGTCAGTCTTAAAAGTCTTTCGATGTCGCCATTTCCCTGTAAAATCGTCTTTCAATGTCGACATTTCCCTGTAAAATCGTCTTTCAATGTCGACATTTCCCTGTAAAATCGTCAAATTTCCGACTCGTGGCAGTGATTTCCTGGATCGAATTCTCATAAATACGAGGGTTTTACTTAGTGCACAGAAAGACTCGATCCTACAGAGGTCAGTTCATGCCACTATTTCAAGTTACATTTAAATATTCAGTGTGATCAGCTCCATATATCTATATATATTTACATACATATCAGGTAAGACTTTATGTAGAAGAAAAAATATTAAGATATTAATCAACAAAACAATATTAAATATAAAGAAAAAACATTAAGCAACAAAACAAAATTCCTTCGACTGATAAACTAAAACTCGTGGTAATTATTGTCCGGAAAAGTTGTTATCCCCATCCCAAGTCAATCTTTTCAAGAAGGTTTTCAAGATGTTTTTCAAACACTTATTTTCGTCATTGCCGTCTCAGCGCTAATTTTTCCCATTGTGCATGCTAAATCGGTTTTCCGATGGACGAAAGTTTCCTTCCATTTGAATTCACTTGCAAATCCTGTATCATATTTCGTAAAGAGGTTACGTATAGAAACAGACGATACAAGAGAGCTGCAGTCGGCGGAGAACACTCGGAAAATCAATCAGCGGTTCCCACGGGTCGTTGTGCAAGGTAGCACCGTGACCCCTCGGCGTCTGTAAATGTCAATCAAAGAGCTCGACACCTCATACGATTACAGTGTTGGGCAGCGGATGCACATGAAAACTAATCTAAAAAAGTAATGCGGCAATGGAGTAAAGATTGTCTCGTCCTTCTTAAGCAAGCCACTAAAAATTGTGTGAGGTGATTCAACCTGTCACAATGCAGATTAAACTTACACCTAAAAACCAAAGTGGCGAAAACAATAACAAATCTCGCAAATGATGGCAAACACATTCAGAACTCTCACAGCTGCAGGGCAACGAGAGCAAAGTGTTCAGGAAAAAAATGTGTTGTATTACCCAAAAGCGCCCATCAAAAATCAGCGGAAGTAAATTCCATACGGATGGCCTGCCAACAGTTCAACATTTTTGAGCCTGCGGTATTTAGAGCACAAAACAAAGATGGCGCGGAACTGCGAGAAGAAGCTCATTGGCCTCAACAGATTATGGCTTGCCAAGCAACAAAAAGGTAATTATCTATATGTTTTGTTTTGTTTTTTTCTTTTAACGTTCTTTATTAAACAGAGTATTCATAATCCTTTTCATGACGTTTGATATTAGATGAAGAGGAGAGCCGTCCTAAGAGACCACATCTGGTGAGAGACTCATTTGTGAACTACAGTGTGCTTTGCAATCAGCTGTTGGAAATAATTAAAAACAATAAAGATTACTTATATTTTATAATTCTATGTTATAAAAGTGCCGGTGTATGGGCTAATCAGGTGCATTTTTCATCTGCTTATTTTCTTTGTTATTTCAACCAAGCGTTCACTGAACAGTGCTTCAGAGGTTAAAAAGTGGATTCCTGGAATAAAGAAGGAATTGGACTATTATTTAGATGTAAGTCGACATTATGTAAACCTTGTCTATGTTTGCTATACTCCTTTTATAAATTAATGGCTAGATAGTTTTCCTTGAACTTGTTTTGTTGATCCTGGGTATGAAAAAAAAAGACTAATAATTAATTTAAGGGAACAGTCACTAGGTAAGAAACTTAAGCGTGGATGTTTTTTCGACTTAGTCGGTGACCAGAAGCATAATTCAACTCTTTCAGGTGGGTTTCATCATTGATCAAACAACTGCCAAGCCCATATTTTGTCATTTTAATAAAAATGCTGTAAATGATCAGTAACAAGTGCAGTCCCTCAAGCTTCTTGCAGAGGTTAGAGGAACACAATAATTAGTGATTCATGGTAATGAACAAGTTTCTAGTACCATTTGTCTATTGCAGAGATGAAATTGATCAAAATCTCCAAACCACCCTCTTCTCATATGAAAGCTGAATGCTCTGGTACCCACTTTTAATTGACTAATCTAATTTAATATTTGCAGCAACTTTCTGGAGCCAGAAAACATCGTTATCCTGACACAAAAATGAAAGAATTTGAAAAGAAGGTGGAAGAACTTGAAAATGAATACAAAAGGTAATAACAAAGAAGAAACAATTGAGGAGTCTCCACAGGGGCAACAAGTTATTTTTCAACTGATAAAAGTTTCTTGTATTTTGAGGAATTAAAAAAAAAAAATAATAATAATAATAATAAAAAAGAGAAACAATAATGTCCAAATTTCCCGGCAGGTGCCATTTTGGGTTGGATGATGTTGTGTAATTTCAAATATTGTCATCAAACAAAGGCTTTGGTTATTGCTAGGATTCCTGAGGGTAGCATGCAGATGATATTGGCAACTGTTAAATGTCATTTGATCCAACATGATGGACTATGCAGAGAATATTTCCCACTATCCAAATTGCCAACATGGATTTAAATTTTTTCTCAAACTCAATGCTTCATTACTATTTATGTTAACAATATGTAATTCTGAAGATCATTTTTGTTGATTTAAGTACAATTTGCTCCACCAGGTTTCCTTGTAAACTAATTGTGATATCTTATATCCAAGAGTTTGTTCATAATTGGATTTCTTCTTGTATTAAATGAATGATGATTATCACATTTTGTAATCAAGGATGTGATAAAGTTCATTTCAATCAGAACAAATCTTCTTCAGTTGACTAAGTAAATAATTATACCATTGAGACTTTTTTGTACAAAGAAATCAATGGAGGGTGATATGGAGGAGGAATTGAATTTTTTATTTTGTTTTGAGTAAGAAGCTTACAAATGTGTTTTACCATTTGCTATAGGTTTGTCAAAAAGGTTTATGAATTAGATCCCAGCACAACAAGTGTTCCATGGCAGCCAAGAGGTTATGTCAGTAAACGGAAAACTACAGATAGCTCACAAACAGAAGTGAAACCTAAAAAGATCTGCACTCCTTTGTTGGAAAAGGAGGTATGTAAAAATTAACACCTCTAGTTGAATACTTTGAGGAATTCAGAGCTTTTGAATAATAATTTTCCTTAAAAGGTAGCTGCAATAAACGAAAGTGAAGGGTAAATGTGTGTGGAAGCCACACTAAAGTTGCTGATGAGATGATGTTATTATTTTAGTCTACTCCATCAGAAATAATTTGCTTTAGAGTTGATTAAAGAGTGAAGTAACCAGGGGTGTTTTTGGTACCACAGGGAGATCATTGATAATAATTATTTTTAATGACAATTTCCATTGAGGTGTTGAAAGTAATATAAGTGAGTTATAATCATGTTAATAGGATCAAGTGGAGTCCAGTTTGGTCTGTAATCATACAAGTGATTAACATAATCACATGACTGTGAAGGGGGGGTCCAATTTGTTAATCACTCATATGATTACAAACAGAATTGGACAACATGAAGTCCTGTTACCAATTAATCAACACTATGACAAAATTTGAGAAAGAAACTAGACATTGGTCATAAAATAATGTTTTTATAAAAGAAACAACAACAACAGTTAACATGGCGGCATATGCACATGACATGTTCTGTCTCCTTACATATTCTGAAGATCACACTCAGAATCTGAAAAATCAGTTGTCTAAGATTTTTGTCCAACAGGATGCAAATTCATCAGATGTGCAAAGTGGGAAGATGAGAGATTCTTCAGATCTTCTATTCACAGCCTGTAGCAGGACAACACATCCTTCAAATGACACATGCAAAATAAACTCAAAGGTAACTTTTGCTTTAAGTGCAAACACTGCAGTTAATACTTTACTGATTGATTTTAATTGTATTATGATTGATTTAGCAAAATATTATATGCACTATGTGATGGTTTGATTTCAGTCCCTTAGCAACCATGATTAGCGCAATAAATATTTTTAAACTTGTGTGGTTCTTTAACTAAATCCTACATTCTTCTGTTCAGAATATTGGAAGTGATTTGGAACATCAGAGGGATAATATAAATGTTCAACCTAAACAGTAAGAAGTTTGTGTTGTTGATTTAAAAACTAATGTAGCCTAATTTTCATAGCTTTGAAGGTAATTGAAATAAAGTTCAGAGGAAACAAAATATTTTAAAGGTACTGGGGTAATTTGTTTTAATGCTGGGAAGGTTTGAAAACTGAAATAGATTCACAGTGTTTGAATAAGCAAGTTATCAAGCAGTATCCAGGTTGAGAAATCCCCCATCATTTTTTTTCCATAAAACTTTACTAATTAAAACTACTCTCATCTTCCTTGTCAGTGCTCTAGGTTTAGATTATGACTCCTCCAGTGAATCTGATGATTCTTAGCACAGTTAAAATCTATAGGACTCAAGGCAGAACTTAAGAATAAATATCAGGCATCAGAACAAAACAGGGTAAGTTAGGTGAAGATGGCTCTACCTTAGGTATCTACCTAGAAGGAAAAAGAACTAGATATACATAATATTGTTACATTGTACATGCTTACTTAATGCATTACTTAGAAAGTGCAAGAAGGAAAGAGATTGTGGAATGAAATTGTATTTCATTTATTCTATTTATTTTTCTACAGTATATACAAGATATAACATTGTAAACTTATACTATACAAAGGAAAAAATATTTTTTCTGTATCTAAGAGGCATAAACTGTTATTTTCATCAACTATTCAGTCTTACACCATGATCTTAGCTGGTGATGGCAGATGCAATTTTATATAAATTTGTTTGCCCTATAGTTTTTCAAACAGTTGTTTATTGTCTCCATGGAAACAACAAATGCAGTTCCCATAAGTGACATTTCTTATTCTCTTTTTCAGGTTCTGCAGTTTCTTTGGGATCTTTAGACACAAAAAATGCACTATAATTTCAAATGTTTGATAATGTTTTTATTTATAATAACCTTTATTTGTAAAGACAAACAAACAAAAACAATTGATACAAGTATACAAAAGATAATTCTTAATTGTATTAGGAAATTATGCTAGATTTGAAAATAACTTTGTAAATAAATGTAAAAAGCAAAATAAGAAAGAGAAAAAAATATACTGTTAATACTAGAACTATTTTCTGCATCCTTGGAAATGGCTGAAAATCAGCTGCATAATCTGAATCTTAATCCTTGTCAATCTCAAACATTTTCTTTTGAGTGTAGTATCATTAACAGAATGCTCTAGGACATATTTTTGCAAGATCTGTCACCCATAGTTTTTTTGTCCCCCAAATTCTGTTTTCCAAAGAGTTGTCCTCAAATATTTTTTATCCCTGCATTTTATCTTTGACAACAGTTAGTGGATCCTGGTGTATGCCTCAACCTCTTGCCGAGAGCCAGTACTTTATGATTGCTCTCTCTGCAATTGTTGTACTCGAGACAGGCTTTGTCTCTCCTCTTCCATGACTGAAAAGCTAATTTACGTGTGTCGCTTATTTTTGAGAAACCAGTTTTAAACTACCTTAGTCAAAACGTTGTAGGACTACCCCAAACCGTGAATACAGCACAAGCAGTGAGGAAACGAGCCCCAAAGTAGCGATGCGAACATTTCACGGCCACGGTTCTTATTATTTGTTAAGGAAATCATCGTAGTCGTGAACGGCCGCCTGAAATTTCTTACTAATAGATGACTAAAGTAACACTTTCATGGTAAGGGGATCTTTAAAATCAATTATTTATCGATGACTTTGTCGTCTTTACCACAGCAAGTGGAACGTAATGGTGGAATCACCATATACTGCGAGACAAGCCTTACTTCATGGTCACGCAATCGTTTGGGTTGAAATTGCCGAACTAAACCAAATATGCAGTAAGCAGTGATATCTTACATGTAACACTGATTAGCGAACGCAAAATGTGCTAAAAGGGCCTTAACTTCATCATTCATATTAGTTTTAAAGAAATAGCTTTTGCAAGCAGCGAGAAAATTTGAGGTAGCTAGGTTGAGAGTTTGTAAACATCGATGGACGATTGAATTAAGACTAGACTAGTTATGAAACGGAAAACGTCGGTAAACTGTGCACTCAAAAGTGCGAAGAAAGAAATATTTATTCCACAGAATTTGGAAGCTTAAAAGTAAGTATCACGCTCCTTTTATGTCAATCCGTTTTTGAAACCCCCTGAGTTCTTCATTATGTTGAAAGTTTATGTTGCTAAAAATAGGATTTACGTGACTCTCCGTGACAACGGGAAGTGATGGGAACTGCCACGTCAATAATAACTGCGTAGCTCTGTGGGCAGCTGAAACCCAGCGTAACAAAATGAAAAACACCAGTTCTTGCGTTAAGCGCCAGTAATCGATGTCATCCGCTGTCGTAGCACACACAAAAACAACCAAGTCTGAAATTCATTTTCAGGTAAACGACGACATAATGCGAGGCGAAGCAAACGAAAAATCTGAGGATTTTATCTCCGGCTCAGCTACAGATACGGACAACTTTCTTGAAGCAGCTACTTACCCAGTCAAATTTTTGATTAAGTTATATCAAACTACAATCATGGAAAGAGAAATGCAAGAAATAACAGTTCAACCGTCAAAAGCACGAGCTGATGTAGGGAAAAGATTGATCGTCAGGGAACTTTCCATATCGGAATTTGGTTTCCAAGAGCTACCGGTAACTAGGATTTAGTTAATCTATCTTTCTAAAGCAGTTTTGTAGTTTAATTGCAGCTACTATGATCAGTGTTTTAATGATGGAAATAATTCTGTAATCTTGTATTTTAACTGATTGTTTAGTCAAACGTCTGCTCAGCAATTCCCAAGTTCGAAGAAGAGTTAACTTCGAGTAGTGTCTTACTTAGTAATGTTTACTGGCATGAAGTTTAAATTAATCAATGTATTTCAAAAATTCTGTACATCATTTTTAATTATTTATCTATTATTTAGCCAAAAACTACAACTAATTTTTAAATTGAGGTACTTAAATTAAAAACATAAAACAATTAAATTTTCTTAGTTTCAAAACACCAAGGCCAGCAGATTAATTGACAATCTTGACTCATGGAATCTGTTGAAATCTAAAATGTGTTCATTGCAGGTAAACTTACAACTCAATATATTCTCATACTTGGATGCAAGATCACTTTGCACAGCTGCGTCAACATGCCACTATTGGAACATGCTCAGTGAAGACAAAGTACTCTGGATGAACTTGTTGCAACGTGATATGCACAAGTGGAGCACTATGGGATATCAGTCATGTCCATCAACTTACATGGAGGCAAGATCAGATTTATCTTTGAAACAAATGTGAGTGAGACAATATGCACCACAGTTGAGCATAATATTTGTCACTTCTTCTTTGATAAATAAAATTTGATTTGATGGCAAGACTGGGTGAATACAATCAAAGTTGATTCACTCCCTTTCTTGTGTCCCTGCTGAGCCAGAAGATGTAAAATTTGGTAACAGTTTCATCTCATAGAGTGCAATTAGAGAAGCATTACACCTTAACCCTTTAATTCCCAAGATCTGATTGTTAATTCTCCCCTCTAGCTGCTACACATTTCCTTGTAAATTGGTTATTCAAATTTGATGTTCAATCAAGGTAACATCTTGTACCTGATGAGTTTTAGTATTCTCACTACCTGTTTGTTGGATAATTTATGGATATTATAGGGAGAAGTTACATGTTAATCACTTCTGAGATTTAAAGGGTGAAAAGTCACTTAATGCTTCAAAAAGCTGGTTAATTTACTTTGCTTTGAAATTTAAGGGGTCACTCTCGATTGAGAGGACATGCATCTCTCTTCATTCTCCTGTTACTTACTTGTATATAAGGTTTGCAGAAGTATACTTTTCACTCCTATAAGAAATAGCCATATATGAGTTGATTGACACTAATTACATATGCATTAAGTACCATTCTCTTTTTCTTGGTAGATACTTAAGGTGCTGTCCAGAGTGCAGATCCTTAAGAAAAACCAGAGAGTCTTTCAAGTCAATAGTCTTTTACAACCTGCAAAACTTATCCTCCTTTTTCAAGAAAAGATCACCCCGTTTAGTCATGTTTGGTCCTGGGTTGGAGTCAGACACCAAAGGACTTGTGCGTGAACTATTATGGGATAAAAAGTCACCATTTGAAGTGACAGGAATGTTCCCTGGACAGTTTGAAGGTATTTACACCTTCTTTGGTTGATGTTATTGTGAAGTGAAAAAAATTTGTTTTAGACGCTAGAGCTCACCATGATTGTAATTAATTTCACTCTGATTGTAACTAATTTTCACTATATCTAGATCAAATTAAAGTAGAAATTACATTTATTAAAAGTATGCAGTAGTAGGCAAAGTAATAAACTTCTCTTGAATTAAAAGTTTCATCAATGAAAATTAATTTTCACTCCTTCTTTGAACCCTTAAACTCCAATGATGATCAAGACAGAATTTCTCCTCACAATATCAATACCATATCAAGCAAACAAGTGATGAGGATAAGGAAGAATTTCAATTAGGCAACTATTAGTTAATCCAATACCAAATTCTCAGAACTAACATTGCAAGAATTGATTGGCAGAAAGCAAGGAGAATTACTAGTGAGATCTTGGGAGTGAAAGGATTGAAATAGAACTAATCTTTTGTTATATGGTTTTACAAGGTGTTGGTTCTGGAGTTTGCTTGAGCTTTGAAAACATGGAATTAAACCTTATCACATTGTATGCTTCAAACAAGTAAGTTACTTTTTCAAAAAACATTTTAATTTTCAAAGAACTGAAATTTTGTTATGAACTTTGTAATGGACTTTGTATGTGAACTTTGTAATGGACTTTGTATGTGAACTTTGTAATGGGCCTTGCTCACCATAGAGTCCCTGTGGCTCCATTGTAGAGCATCAGAGCAGGGAATCTGAATCGGAAGGTCTGAGGTTTGATTCCTTCTAGGGATATCTTCAAAAAAATCTACAGTTACGCTCATCAATTCACCTTGCAGATGAATTATTGGTGAATAATTTTTTCGGAAAAGTTCCTCAGCCTACAACTTATGTCTACTTTCCAACCCTGCCCCACAAAAAAAATTTAGTTCCCAGAAATCATTTGGATCCTTTTCTATTAGGTAATAGTAAACTGTAAGAGAAGTTATGCCGCCAAAAAGAAATGAAAATGTATTTCTTTCATTCTCATTGTTCCTTTTCACAAGCTTTGATGTGCTACTGAGGTAAAGAAAAAACAAACAAACAAAAACAAAGAAATTGTCATGCAACATGTCCATGTATGTATGAAACAACATTATTTTTGTGTTTTCTTTTTGTGATCTCTTACAGAAAAGAAAGAGAAGCTAATGTAAGACTTGGAAGGCCAAGATCTAGTAAACTACTGGCTTCCACTGAAAATGCAAATAATAATGAAGATGACAAGGATCATGAGTCCCAGTCCCAGTCCCACTCCACTGAGTTAAGCCATCCAGTCAGGGAACTTTGTAAAACCGTAAATGCATTTATATATGTTGTCGACTCTTCTGCTGACTCTGATAGAGGTACAATTATAATTTTTTTTCATTAATCTTTTCATGAAAAAAAGTGTTTAAACTTTTACTTGATTAGAGTACATCTACTGATGGCTATGTTAAGTTTGAAAGGTTGACATATAAAATGTTAGACCTTTGTTGAAGCAACTTTCTTATAACATTAAATGCTTGAACATATGCTTTCTAAAATTCCCTGTGACAGTCCATCAACCAATTCCAACTTACAGTTGTTAATTGACTCTTTTTTTTCACTTGTCTTCTGAGACAGCACATGAGGTTATTTTGAAAAGAAAAAAACAAACAAAAAATAAACAGAAAACAAACCACTTTCAGAACAGCATGAATTATGTACAATCTCAGACCAAAATGAAGAGAATTACATCCTCTCCTTTAGTTCAATGGCACTTGAATATTAGTATTATCGTTATCATTATCATTATCATTTGGTTGTCTCTACCATGGCCATTACCAATAGCACCCTTTGTAAGGAAGTTTCATTTTTCTTCATTTCTTTAATTTCTTTCTCCAAGTCTCACATTTGTTACCTTATCTTGGAGTTTCAAAAAAGCAGGTTCTCAAATTTTTCCAATTGACTGGTATATATACAGCAGTCAGAAATACTTTTCCTAATGTACATTTCTATCATCTCTACACAGTGAATGTAGGAGATGTGGAGTTGTCTGCCATGATGAATGAGAACTGGACACAAGTTAAGGCTCCTCTTTTAGTACTGTCTTGTGTTGAAAAAGAAATCACACCTTCATTGTCCTGTGCAACTGTCGTTGAGCTTCTACAGCTGAGACAACTCAACAGACCATGGCAGGTTAGCCATATGGTAGTGTAGTATTATGTACTTGCCTTGGATTAGAAATCTGAAGAAGTCTTTATATTCCAATGCTGAAACATTACTGAACACCAGTAAGCTCGTTAAAGGAGGGGGGGAGGGAGAGGTTTAGTAAGTCTCCTCTTAGGCTACTCCTACAACTACAAGAGGTTCCTCCTTTTGGTGAAATCCGTGGCCAAGAAAAAAAGTCATGCAAGACAAAAAATTTATGTTTAGAGTGCAATGCGGAACCCTAGAAGTAAGGCACAAAAAGAGTAGTGACAATTGATTTAGCTAGAGAGTTTGACCTCTGCATTGCACTCATGATGCAGAAATACGATTGACTAACATCTGGAAATCTGTTGACAAGCAGTGATGGATGTTAATGCATTTTTGGCACTAGACTTACATTGTGGTTGGTGAGCTGCAGGAATATTAATGGCCGTGTTCAACTGAAGAAATGTTAAATGGTTTCCGTGTTTACATAGCCTGATGTAATCATGTGGGAGGTTGGGAGAATATGAGATAAGCATAGGAAACCACAACGCGAAGCGGAGTGGTTTCAGCTTATCAAGTGTTCTTCAACCTCCCAAGTGTTTACATCAGGCTATGTAAACACAGAAACCATTTTACATTTCTTTTATAAAATAACTAATGAAAGAGGAACGAAAACCGTGTTTACATATGCTCATGTAAAATGGTTTTATGGCCAATCAGAGTGCGCATACTATTTGAATTATTTTATAAAATATGTTTGCTGAAACCAGACTACTATAATTAATATTTATGTTCAGATAACCTAGAAAATAATAAGAAAGGTCCATGACTGCTGGGAATCTCTCTTTCTTTCTATTTTTTTCTTCAGCTTTCATTAAAAAAAAGAAAAAAATTTAATGGGAGGCAAATTTGTTTAATATTCATCAGTTCTAAACCAAAAATTTTGGAAATTCTTATTTACTGTTCAGTGATGCTCTGTTTTTGCCTTTGAACAAAGCATGAAAAATGTTATTATTACCTTTTAGGTAAATTCAGCTTGTGTTGAAAACCTGGATGGAGTCCTGCCTGGTATTAAATGGTTGCTCAACTCGGCAAGTTAAATCAATTTGTTCAGTGTCAAAGAGTGCAAGAAACTCATTGGCTGGACATCACTTACAAGCACATCATTGAACTACACTAGAACTTAAGAACATTTCATTATAGATGTGCGTGTATATTAATTGAAAAACATATAAGTACCTGAATAAAAAAGTTAAAATTATTTTCTTGGTGTCATTCTGGACGTGAAAAGATGCTTCATGTCCTCATAGATTATTTCTGCCATCTTACTGTAGCCTTTTTCTGTAAAATGCAAACCATCGCTCCATAATTCCTGCAAATCCTTGTCAGACAAGCTTTGTTGTGGAAACTTTACGGCAAAGTCACATAAAGTAATGTGAACATTTTCTTCATTCCTCCCAATAGATTCCCTTAGTTTCTCATTTACCAACAAACGAATGTTTTCTCCTTCTTCCTTGACCCAACACAAACCATTTTCCCTAAGATCTTTGAAGTAAAGGTCAGTTTCTGGGATTGTAAGCGCAATGACCTTTGCGCCGTGACTTACGACCGCAGCATGTAAGTTTGTTATTCCTTCAAAGAGTGTATCTTCTAAACCTTTCTTAGCCTCAATGATGTCATTGGTTCCTCCCAAAATAATCACTAAATCGTACGGTCCGCTTTCATGTAAAACCCTAGGTAATCTTTCTGTCATTTCACCGCAAACCAACTCGCCGTAAATCCCTCTGTTGTCTACCTTGAACGCGTAGTCAGGGTGGTTGTCTCTCAGTAGTTTCGAGAGGCGAATCGTGTAAGGCTTGTCCATAGCTTCATTTAGTTCACCTCCTGTATTTCCTGTGGTAAGGCTGTCCCCAAAGGCTAGGATCCGGTACAGCTTCTCGCTTGTCTTGACTAGTGAGCCGTCTGCCATTTTGTTTTTTAAATTAGCTAGAAGTGACATTGAAACGAGGCACATTAAGTATGCATCGTCCCCAGTTCAAAATGGCGGAAAGGGGAAACTTTTGAGCGAGTATAATACAAGGTTTTAGGTTCATTTTTCAGGACAAAGTTGGACAAATGTTTTCCCGATTTGGTATTGGAAGACGTAAGTTGTAGTTCATCAATTTACCTTGCTGATGAATTATAGATGAATAATTTTTTTGGAAAAGTTCCTTAGTTTACAACTTATGTCTACTTTCCAACCCTGCCCCATAAGAAAAATTTAGTTCCCAGAAATCATCTGGATCCATTGCTATAAGGTAATAGTTAAATGGTAAGAGAAGTTATGCAGCCAAAAAGAAATGAAAATTTATTTCATTCTCATTGTTCCTTTTCACAAGCTTTGATGTGCTACTGAGGTAAAGAAAAAACAAACAAACAAAAACAAAGAAATTGTCACGCAACATGTTCATGTATGTATAAAACAACATTATTTTCGTGTTTTCTTTTTGTGATCTCTTGCAGAAAAGAAAGAGAAGCTAATGTAAGACTTGGAAGGCCAAGATCTAGTAAATTACTGGCTTCTAATGAAAATGCAAATAATGATGAAGATGACGATTATCATGAGTCCCAGTCCCAGTCCCAGTCCCACTCCACTGAGTTAAGCCATCCAGTCAGGGAACTTTGTAAAACTGTAAATGCATTTATATATGTCGTTGACTCTTCTGCTGACTCTGATAGAGGTACAATTATAATTTGTTTTTCATTCATCTTTTCATGTAAAAAAGGGTTTAAACTTTTACTTGATTAGAGTACATCTATTGATGGCTATGTCAAGTTTGAAAGGTTGACACATGAAATGTTAGACCTTTGTTGAAGCAACTTTCTTATAACATAAATGCTTGAACATATGCTTTCCAAAATTCCCTGTGGCAGTCCATCAACCAATTCAAACTTACAGTTGTTAATTGACTCTTTTTTCACTTATCTTCTGAGAAAGCACATGAGGTTATTTTTAAAAGAAAAAAAAAACAAACAAAAAATGGACAGAAAACAAACCACTTTCAGAAAAGCTTGAATTATGTACAATCTCAGACCAAAACGAATAGAATTACATCCTCTCTGTTAGTTCAATGACACTTGAATATTAGTATTATCATTATCATTATCATTTGGTTATCTCTACCATAGCCATTACCAATAGCACCCTTTGTAAGGAAGTTTCATTTTTCTTCATTTCTTTAATTTCTTTCTCCAAGTCTCACATTTGTCACCTTATCTTGGAGTTTCAAAAAAGCAGGTTCTCAGATTTTACCATTGACTGGCATATATACAGCAGTCAAAATACTTTTCCTAATGTACATTTCTATCATCTCTACACAGTGAATGTAGGAGACATGGAGTTGTCTGCCATGATGAATGAGAACTGGACACAAGTTAAGGCTCCTCTTTTAGTACTGTCTTGTGTTGAAAAAGAAATCACACCTTCATTGTCTTGTGCAACTGTCATTGAGCTTCTACAGCTGAGACAACTCAACAGACCATGGCAGGTTAGCCATATGGTAGTGTAGTATTATGTACTTGCCTTAGATTAGAAATCTGAAGAAGTCTTTATATTCCAATGCTGAAACATTACTGAACACCAGTAAGCTCGTTAAAGGAGGGGGGGCGGGGGGAAAGGGAGGGGAGGGAGAGGTTTAGTAAGTCTCATCTTGGGCTACTCCTACAACTACAAGACGTTCCTCCTTTTGGTGAAATCCATGGCCAAGAAAAAAAGTTATGCAAGACAAAAAGTTTATGTTTAGAGTACAATGCGGAACCCTGGAAGTAAGGCACAAAAAAAATTGTGGCCATTGATTTAGCTAGAGAGTTTGACCTCTGCATTGCACTCATGATGCAGAAATATGATTGACTAACATCTGGAAATCTGTTGACAAGCAGTGATGAATGTTAATGCATTTTGGCACTAGAGTTACATTGTGGTTGATGAGCTGCAGGAATATTAATGGCCATTTTCAACAATATGTTTGCTGAAACCAGACTCCCATTATTAATATTTATGTTCAGATAACCTAGAAAATAATAAGAAAGGTCCATGACTGCAGGGAATCTTTCTTTCCATTTTTTTCTTCAGCTTTCATTAAAAAAAGGAAAATATTTAATGGGAGGCGAATTCTTTTAATATTCATCAGTTCTAAACTAAAAATTTTGGAAATTCATATTTACTGTTCAGTAATGCACTGTTTTTGCCTTCGAACAAAGCATGAAAAACGTTATTATTACCTTTTAGGTAAATTCAGCTTGTGTTGAAAACCTGGATGGAGTCCTGCCTGGTATTAAATGGTTGCTCAACTTGGCAAGTTAAATAAATTTGTTCAGTGTCAAAGAGTGCAAGAAACTCATTGGCTGGACATCATTTACAAGCACATCATTGAACTACACTAGACCTTAAGAACATTTCATTAAAGATGTGCGAGTATATTAATTGAAAAACATATAAGTACCTAAATAAAAAATTAAAATTATTCTCTTTGTGTCATTCTGGACGTGAAAAGATGCTTCATGTCCTCATAGATTATTTCTGCCATCTTACTGTAGCCTTTTTCTGTAAAATGCAAACCATCGCTCCATAATTCCTGCAAATCCTTGTCACACAAGCTTTGTTGAGGAAACTTTACGGCAAAGTCACATAAAGTGATGTGAACGTTTTCTTCATTCCTCCCAATAGATTCTCTTAGTTTCTCATTTACCAACAAACGAATGTTTTCTCCTTCTTCCTTGACCCAACACAAACCATTTTCCCTAAGATCTTTGAAGTAAAGGTCAGTTTCTGGGATTGTAAGCGCAATGACCTTTGCGCCGTGACTTACGACCGCAGTATGTAAGTTTGTTATTCCTTCAAAGAGTGTATCTTCTAAACCTTTCTTAGCCTCAATGATGTCATTGGTTCCTCCCAAAATAATCACTAAATCGTACGGTCCGCTTTCATGTAAAACCTTAAGTAATCTTTCTGCCATTTCACCGCAAACCAACTCGCCGCAAATCCCGCTGTTGTCTACCTTGAACGCGTAGTCAGGGTGGTTGTCTCTCAGTAGTTTCGAGAGGCGAATCGTGTAAGGCTTATATATAGCTTCATTTAGCTCAACTCCTGTTTTTCCTGCGGTAATGCTGTCCCCAAAGGCTAGGATCCGGTACAGCTTCTCGCTTGTCTTGGCCATGGAGCCGTCTGCCATTTTTCTTTATATTAGCTAGAAGTAACATTGAAACGAGGCACTTTAAATATGCATCGTCCCCAGTTCAAAATGGCGGAAAGGGGAAACTTCTGAGCGAGTATAATATAAGGTTTTAGGTTCATTTTTCAGGACAAAGTTGGACAAATGTTTTCCCGATTTGGTATTGGAAGAGGTAAGTTGTTAAAATTTAAATGGGAGACGTGAAAGAGTAGTTTCAGAACTCTTTAACTTGTGCAAGGTAAAATTTAAAACAGTAATATTTACAGCTAATATGTAATTTTATGCAAGTTCTTTACCTCTTCATTTACAACTGGATTCATGTATTAAAATGAAGCAAACATACTTTTCCAGGCTCCATGCGGCGACTATTCCCTCCTGGGCCCTGCCTTTCACAAATAGTTCAACACCAACTTCGATTAATTAATAGTTCTTCAGAGTTGTGCAATACGTGCTAAGCAAACGTGCATACGTGCTATCATATTAAGTGTAAAAAAGTACCTTTATGTACTCTGATTCTGAAGACTTAATGAACATGCGCAGGAGGAGAAAGTGTTTCTTTGTATTTCAGAAGCGATAACCCTTTACAGTCCCTAACATCACTATAACATCACTATGCAAGGTCTCTCTATATATTTCTTATCAATGGTACTTACATTGAGAATTTGTCTTAAAATCAAGAGCTTATTGAGGTTGCGATCATTTCCTCCATTCTCATGACCTTAATGTTTGATTCTGGAGTATTACTGCAGGGAGAAATTAGATGCTTATCGCTTTAAGGAATTTTAAGGGTTAATGGTATTTTTTTTAAAAATTCCTTTGTCCTAGAGACATTTGCAGGTACATTGATACCATCTCCAATTTGCCTCAACACCAATTTCATGATGCCTCTTTTCCTTAGTGTTAGGGATCAGTGGTCGTCTATCAAATCTATGCGTATCATTGAAGCCAGAAAAAGTTTTGTTGGCATCTCAAAGCAGTGCAATCCACAGTTCAAATACCAGAATGAACAGTACAGAACAGTACAAATTTGAAACTCTTGCTGTGACTAAACCACAGGAACATGTGATTCAGGTGGAACTTAACAGACCAGACAAAAGAAATGCCATGAATGGAACATTTTGGAGGTAGATTTCATATTGAATTACTGCTATAAGCTTATGCATATCATGTTTCTGGTTTTTATGATCAGCCTGTGAATGGTTTGGTGATCTTCAGCCTAGAACTTGTGGAGAAGGTCAGCTTGTGACCTCTCCAAACATTATGTTGTCAATGGGCTATTCATGACATTTTGTGAAAAAGGTAAAATTTTAGTCATTAGAGAAGAATTATCGAAAAGGGCACTTTTATAATACTGCATATCAAGTTTTTATAATTCTTGTCCTTTTGATAAGTGTGTTGCAAACCAATATGGCTTGCAATAAGTTTGGAGGTTCACACAACATCTCATAGAGTTTCATACCACTTTGCTGTCTCAGAATACAAGGTTGAAGAGGCAATTACAAAGCACTAATATTATAATTATGGTAAAAATGGTGAGACAGTCAGTGATTCTACCATGTACAGGCTTACATTGACAATTCTACTTTCCAATATCTTTTGGTACAATTGTAATGGAACTTGGATGTGCAGTGTACGTTTGAAATAACTATCTCATCTTCTTATGGTGCACAGGGAAATGGTGGATTGTTTTCGGCAGATTGGTGATGATTCTGACTGTAGAGCTGTAGTTTTAACCGGAGCAGGAAAAATCTTCACTGCAGGTTGGGGCAAATATTATGTTAGATACATGAACCTACGAATGATTAGGCCTCTCATCCAAAGTTGGTGATGTCTGAAGAACACTCAGGCTCCTTGCTTGCCATCCAAGCTTATCCTAGTTTTAATAGAAACATTTATAAGTGATAAGAATGTTGAATACAAAATCAAACACTTCACTGTAATTAAAGTTCACCTCTAACTAAACATTTTTTAATACATGCATCTTAAATGTTTAAATAGAGACTGGTCAATTTAAATTGCAGGTCTTGATCTGATGGATATGGGGAGTGATTTGATGAACTCTGACTTGGAACCCTCCAGAAGAGCTCATATGCTGAGAAAACTCATCCTCTTCCTACAAGAGTCATTTCGTAGCATTGAAAAATGTCCACAGCCAGTCATTGCTGCAGTTCACTCAGGGTGTGTGGGTGGAGGAGTTGATATGATCTGTTCCTGTGACATCCGTCTTTGCTCCTCTGATGCTTGGTTTCAAATTAGGGTAAGTGACTCGTTCAAGTTTCCCAAAGTTCAGCTTAAAACTAGGTATGAACTTTCCTTCACCTGCAGGAAAGTTTGAGCCATTGAGTAATGCAAGATAGTGAGAGACTTGCAAGGAGTACAAAACTGATAATGATTATTGGAGCCAGCTAGATCCCAGACAAACCTCCACTCCACTTGTCTAAAATCTTCTCCACTTGTGTAAAATCATCCCCACTAACAGAGAAATGTAGGGTGTGCACACTGGCTAACCACAGATCTGTGGGACAATAGCCTTTGGGTTTGCTCTCTTTGACTTTGTATTTATGTTGGTTTTGCACCAATCAATATAATGGTAAATTATGATGCATTGATTGGCCAGTTGCTATTATGTGGACACACACACACACAAAAAAAAGATTTGACTTCATTCCCAACAATATTTGAGGTATGTTTTTGAAAATGAAAATAAGTTTGCCAAAATGTTTTCAGCCAATTTGTTTGGTGTTAAGAGTCCTCTTTCTTTTTTAAGCTTTTGAGCTGTTTGAGTGGCTAGTGTCTAATTTCTCCTTACAATATCACCCCTGAATCAAACATGTAAGGTCACAAGTATAATGGAATGGTCACCAACTAATAAAAGAAATTCTTGATTGGTAAACAAATTCTCCTTGCCAGCACCTGAGGAATTGTATGGAGAACATTATGGAGAATGTGCATACTGATGTTTGGGTGGGAAGGTTTAAATAATTATAATTTTTGTGTATGTAGTCTTGGCATACTCTGTAACAATTGTGTTGAATAAATTTCAGCATATCAATATCGTGGTTTGTTATTCATTATCACTATCATTCCAGTCTGATGTCATGATGTTTCTTTGCTTTTTGTGAAATTCTTTCATTGATAATTGTTGTTTTTATCTCTCAAATTTTGTTTATTTTCCGTACTCAAGGAAATTGACATAGGGCTGGCTGCAGATTTGGGTACTTTGCAGAAATTTCCAAAAATTATTGGAAATGACAGGTGAACATTGTTTTGATACTTTTTATTCAACACATTAAAACCCCAAAAATCAAAGTGGTCTTTGAAGAGATTTTTTTGATACCCTTGATATTGAACATAAGAAAAAAAAAAGCTGGCCTTATAGAATTGCAGAGCTATCAAATTGTTTCTATTTTGATTTTCAGTCTTGCAAGAGAACTTTGCTTCACTGGTAGACGATTCACAGCTGAGGAAGCTTTGCAATTTGGATTTGTAAGGTTTGTTCTGTGATACCTCTTACAAACTGAGCTCAAAGTCTAATGCATCAGTAAGTCTGAAGCTTCAACTTCACCCCTGGCAATCCTCAGGCATTTGAACTTTTGAAGATGGTTTGTTCAAATTTGCCCTCCTCTGGGCCAAATTGTGTTCAAATGCCTCAGCAAGTGTCAGATTTGATCATCAATTTTTTTTTAAAAAGACAACATTAGCAAGCATGAAACTTGTTGTGGAACTTTTCTTCTTGGTCATCTGTGTGTGAAAGTGAACTGTTGACCATGGAACATCTCCATAAAAAAGACCAAACATGTTTATTCGGATGGAAAGACTTGACAGTTTCTGTTCAAATGCCCTTGGATTGCCTGTGGGCTTCCAAGGGGGAATGGGGGAAGAAAGATTTTGAAGTTTTGAAATGACTTACACTTTGTCAATTGAAAGTAATGTTTTGCAGTCATTTACAATCTGAAGCAACCCTCTCCTTTCTTGGCCATTCTTATTCATACTTGGTTTACCATTTTCTCTTTTGTGTGTTTACTACTGAACTAACATTTTATACAATTTAGTCATTTACCATCTGTAACAATCTTCTCCATTCTTGGCCACTTTCATTCTTCTGGGTGTATTATTGTCTCCTTGGTGTTTTTCTATCTTACCAAACTTATATACCAAACTTATATTTTGTAGCCATTTACAATCTGTGACAATCTTCTCCATTCTTGGCCATTCCTGGCCATTCTTGGCCGTTCTTGTTTCTTCTGGGTTTATGACTGTCTCCTTGATATTTTTTTTAACTTATCAAACTTATATTTCGTAGTCATTTCCAATCTGTAACAATCTTTTCCATTCTGAGCCATTCTTGTTTCTTCTGGGTTTCTCATTGTCTCCTGTTTTTCTATCTTACCAAACTTATATTTTGAAGTAATTTACAATCTGTGACAATCTTCTCCATCCTTAATCATTCTTGTTCCTTGAAGTTCTTGATTTGTTATTGCCTCTTTGGTGTTTCTCTATCCTACAGAACTTCGTTATATTTTGTAGACAATTATACAACCTATTTCATTCCTTTCCATTCTTAATCATCGTTTTTACCTTTTGGCTTATTATTGTCTATTTTGTGTTTTTATGTTTTTATCTTACTGAACTAAACATTTTGTATTAATTTACAATCCGTGTCAATCTGCTCCATCCTAAGCCATCCATCTTGGTTCATTACTGCCTCTTATGTGTTCTCTTTTCTTACTGAACTAATATTTGGTACTCGATCAAGTTGAAGGTAGTTTAGCGCGTCGTAAAATTTACCCAAGAATGTGGCGACTTAACTTTTTATTCACAATTTCACACTCTCGCAAACTGAAATTTTAGAATTATTTTCCTTCCTTGTAGTCGCGTCAGCCCAGGCCGTGATATTCTTTTAAAGGATGCGTTGGAGCTAGCAGGCCAGATCGCCAAGAAAAGTCCTGTTGCCATGGCAGGGACCAAGCACAACCTTAATTTTTCAAGAGACCATTCAGCACAAGAGGGCTTGGAATACATGGTAAAAAACATACTGTAAATGCTACAATAATTGTCTTTAGTACACACAAAAGATTTATTCTCCAATCAGAGCACAACCAGTTTGTTCAATTTCATGACGAAAATGGTTAATGTTTTTGTTTTTTTTTTTTACTTTTTCACCCTTCAGGCCACTTGGAACATGGCTATGTTACAAACGGAAGACATTTTGAAAGCTGTACAGTCGACAATGAACAAAGAGGAACCCGTGTTCTCAAAGCTATAAACTAATCTCAGTCGTAGTTGCATTGACATTTTGATATTACAAAAACTCTCCAATAATTGTTTGCATATGAGTATTCTTTAAACGATTCGCTTGAAGAGCTGAACATGTGTACCATCCAGTAACCCTATGAGATACCGTGACCGCGTAGCTTGCGGCATTTCTCGGTCCCACGATTCGCTTGAAGAGCTGAACATATGTGCCATTCAGTAACCCTAGAGATACCGAGACCGCGTAGCTCACACATTTCTCGGTCCCACTTGCGCTTGTCACTCGGTCCTTGTGCCCTACGGGGATTTTTGCGGGACTCCTCCCATGTCTTTTGATGGTCTGCTGCAGCGCGAGAAAGATAGGGCCATAGAAGCACGAACGAGTCAGGGATTTTGCGGTTTGTTCATGAGAGCGAGCGCGTAGCCATGCGTCTCACGATATAAGCCTTTCTTAATAATCGAGTTCAGGATCCGCAATGTGATTTATCCACATAGTTTTCATGGTGTGCATCGAGACGACAAACTGAGATATTTAGTGTCTTATCTTTGTGTGTTTGTCGGGTCCGGGAGACGAATTAAAGTTTTCTTGAGTTTCTTGGATATAATATTTCAAATTAATATTTCAAATTGTAATTCTCTCTTCCCTTCCCCCCTTGCTATGTTTTTTATTGCCACGTGCGTCGTGCGGGATATGATCATTGAACCAGTCATGTTTAGAGACCTTACACTTAAATCCGAAGTTGACATGAATACGTGAATTTACGGTTAACGAGGTCCCTGATTTTTTTAGTGGGATTAATTTGGTCGCTTGTGTGTATGACGCAGTTTGAACTCAAGCCTCTTTATCGGCAAAGTTTTTTTTACGAAACGATTCGAATGCGCAACGGCTTTGAATGACGAGGGCAGAATTGGAGGAAATCATGAGCACTTTTTAACACAATTTCAAGAAAACTGATCAACAAGAGGGTTTGGAAACAAGTATCAGGATTAAGTAAAGCGGGCTGTGCAGGAGAGTACAGCTTGCTGAGCTGGCCAATCATAGCGTGCATATTTACTGAGAGATATAGGGAAGATTTTACTTTTTAGGTTTCGTTTTAGGTGCTCTTAATCGTCGGTTTAGTGAGAAAACTCGGTTAGCCCGGGTGCAATTACTCGTCGTTAGCGCATCTTCGTGGGTCGAAAAGTACGAGGCCTTGAGCAACGCGAGCTGTCGAGATGTCAAGAGGTCTGGGTCAGACATTGAGCCATAATCAGTGTCAGACCCCTAGAAAACCTCTCCCTAACTTGTCTCTTCTAGCGGGCGGGGAAACGCGCGTCCTGCAGCGCAAAATATCGAGGGTGTGCTCGCAGGCGAGAAATTTTGGAGCACTAGCCGGTCGAGGTTATGCCCATTGTTTATCGCGTGACCTTCTCTTTCCAGTTTGATATATCTCCATTTCATTAATGGCTTAAATGGTTGTTGAAAGAAGGGGCCTCTATCTTCAATTGACCCATATAATTAAAGGCTCTCTAATATACCAAAACTTACACTGGTAGAAGTTCAGTGAGCTTTTCCTCTCACAAGTAACGTTCTAAGTATGAGGTCACATGAAAAGAACATGCCACGTTCAAGAAATAAATAGATTTATTACTATTAACTTAATAAATGTTAACTTTCGAGTTCCCATATACTACACACTCCTAGCTAAGCAACTCGTGCCGCTTTGAACCGACTAGACAAAAGAACACGGTTGTGTGTCAGATCAGTGTAAAAATACATGCAAGGTTTAAGAGTTGCTGAGATAAAAGTTTGATGAAAACTTAAATACTAAACTCTATAAAACTGTTGAAGTAAGCTTCCATAGCTCCTACATTGCCTGTACCATATGGCCCAGGAACACTTGAAAAAACCGTCGTTACAAAACCCTCGTAAAAAAGACCCGAAATTCTGTATGGGATTTTCGCAAGACGTCGCGATTTGCTTCTAATAATGAGCCTCTTTTACAGTGTTGTACATGTTCCGATATATCTCTTTTAAGGACTCTTCAAATAAGGCCCGGTGTGACCGCCCAGTGAACTGAGACTTGAGATTAGACCAGAACGAGTCACTTGATAGAGGCACAGTCACACTGAAACAGACAGATGAAAATTGTTGAGTAAGGAAATGTTTCAGTATCCCCTACAGGAGAGGTCTGTGAACGCATCAAAGTTTTCTGTTAAAGAACCGGTCATGTTTATTGCCTGAGGGGAAAGGTAGGTGGGGGGGAATCGGAGGATTTGGTTGTCTCACTGTATAATTGACCTGATCCCCCTGAAAAGCATGCCATTCAACCCCAAAATCCTCCGACCTGCGCCCCCTCCTTCTCCTCACTCTCTTCCTCCCCCCTCCACCTCAGGCGATAACTGGTGACTGGTCCCATGCAAGAGTGAGGTAATCGATCTTGGATCGTTTGTAAATCGGGAATTTTCCGTACTCACGTAAGCCTCATTCTCAAAACGAGAGTGAACGCTAGATAATGGGTATCTCAAGAAAAGATTTCTTTGGTCATGTTGTTTTAATAAAATACGTCATTTAGATAACAATTAAATATGAAAATCACCTTTCGGAGGAAATCAACGATTTTCCATTTAACTTGCGTGTCAATAACCTCGAAGGCTGAAATTTGACAAAAACAGAGAAAAACTTCAGCCGGTGTTAATGAGTTAGCAGATTGTATCCGTCCAGTCGAAAGGTGAGTGTGTTGCAAGGTTAAACTTGTTTGGGGCTCCCATATTGGAGATGATTTAACTTTGTTGTGATGTCAGTAAAAACGCTTTTTTTTTTTTAAAAAAAATATATATACACATGGCAAAGTGTGGGTGGTTTAGACGCGAAGGAGCTTTAAAATTAGTCAAGGGCTTCTCGTTGCTGGTGGGCAGTTATCTTGACTTTAAAAAAGAAATATGTCACCGATTATAACTGATATTGATGTAATTACCTTCTGTCTAATCTTGTCCCTAACGTGGGATGTTCAGGATCCTCAAATGATCTGTCTAAAGATTCTAACCTCGCACCGTTTATTTCTGATCTGAATTAAGAAGTGAAATGATAAAGGTCTTACATTTTTCTTATGTCTTCACCTTTCATAGCTTTGATAATATCCACAAGGTGTCCATTATCATAATGAGTTTCTAGATGCCTAAAGCGGCCAGTTGTGCAAACACGCTGTGATTATTAATAGGGAATAAAATTTAAGAAAGTTAACGATCCAAGAGTAGGTTTTTAGGTCCAACTAATGGCTAATGTTAAAAATTACATCAGCTTTTCCAAAGCTTTTATCAGCAGTGGATGATAGACCCATAGAACATATCTTGCAAAACAAATATAAGAGATCCTCGCAACTATGAACACTACTGAAGGAGTAGATCAAAGCTGCGAGGGTCTCTTATATTCGTTTCTTCACCGCATTGCACACATATGATTTTCATATATCTACAATTTTTATATCTTGCGAAGTTAGTGCTCTAAAGTGATATGGAATATTGTTCCTCCCCTCCCTTCCCATAAAGAGGATGTCAGTCGATTGCAGGTTTACCGCTAACTTTTCGCAGGTTACCCTCACATCACACTGGTACCCAATTAAACTCCGAGGCGGAGTGAGGCATGGTGCGAGTAAATTGTCTAAGATAAAAAAACACTGTGACTTGAACAAGGCTCAAACCCAGACCTCTCAGGCCGCGGTCAAGCGCACTCATCACCAAGCCATTGAATCTCCTCAATTAAGTGCACCCATGTACTGTATCTCACAAGAGGATACAAGCATACACAATCCAAAGAAGACAAACACTAATTCTTACCAACAAATACAGCAATCAAATCTCACCTCAGTTCTTGTAAAGAGAGCAAACTGTCATTATCGTCTTCAGAATCTGACAGTTCTACAAACCGTTTGGAAGTGTAAGTCTAAAGAAAAAGAGTAGCAGGGAATGATAATCTACTTATCCTCAAATTAAATATCAAGTCTTGCACTACTTGGAGGTATGGTGTTTCCCTCTCTTTCCTCAATAAGGAATCAACATCAGCTACGAAAGTTTGAAGAATTCAAGTTCACTTAATTGTTGTCTACGAGCAAGCCCACATTATTAGCGCTAATCAGTGCCGGCATTTCTTTGCCCGCGTCTTTGTTATTTTACCTCATTTTGAAAACTTACCAACCCTTCCATATTAATTTCCTTTACTGTAAAATAATTTTTTCCATCAATTCGCTGTAATTTTAATCATATTATTTTTTATCTCAGCTCTCTTTCAGGAATGGTGGCGTGAGCGACGTTGGCAGGGGGGAGAGGGGGTGGCTAATGCGGTGTTTTGGAGCATCGACGACATTTATCAATGATTAGTGTTTACTTACAGGAACCGGAGAACGCCTTCTAATCGAGCGATCTACCCGATCATGGATCTCTGGACTAGTTGATGACAAATACGAGCCGTAACCATCAGGTTCCCGTGGAAATATTCTCCTACTCCTGGGGATGGGCTCACTGTAAGCCCTTGAAACATCCAGAGGATCGTCAACTAGTGCAGGTGCACGAGGCCTTGGTGGTTCTGAAGCAAAAGATGTGTATGCCGGCGTGGATGTGGTCCGCTTGTGTGGAACGCGACTAAACCGATATTTCAAAAAGTCTTTGCCATAGACTTTCAGGTACGCTTGGCAGACAATGCATTCTTTGTGTGGAACTCTACAATCTGGACACGGAGCTATATGTGTTAAGTACAAAAAAAGAGCCATAATCAGTCAGCTTTTTTTAAAATAAAAATTGACAATTAAAAGGAAAAAATACATTGTTTATCTTTTCAAGGCGTTTAAGCCCAGTTAGTTGAAGAAAAAAGGCAATTTTGTCAATTTTTTTTTTTCACTATAGTTGTCCCGCTTTATAAAGCAACCAAGTAGGTACTCTGAAAGTAACTAAATTTTTTAGCCTGCAGATCGGGAATAATTTTTTTGCGTTTTCAGGCGAATGAAGGCTATCACGAATTACGCACTAGAAGAAGAGCGCGAAAGAAAATTTTTTTTCGCGCTTGCATATGGTCACCTTCATACGCACAAAAAATTACGCCTGTTCTGCGGGCTACTTCATTTTAGCAGATGTGTTCTGATTTTTCCTTGCTTGCTCGGATTAAAAAAAAAACCAGAATTGGTCCGTAACTTACAGTAGCGTACAGACTTGAACCATGGTTAGTAACATGTGTGAGGTTCAACTTTTCCCATCCAATAACACTTTGCAGTTTCACCTAGAACAGTCATCGTGATCTTCTTACCCGGGCCCCCCTCCAAAGGAATTATTTTAGTCTTCCGTCTCGACTGTCCGGGAGTCACAAACTTGCGACGAGATATGATTTTCTCATCAGCCTTGCCAGCCTTGAATGGAGGTCTGAGGGAAGGTGTGGCTGACTTTGGTCTGTGAGTTGGAGACAGTGACCTTGATCTTAAGGTTACTCTCCCATGATTTTCAGGGCGCCTTGGACATTCACAGATACAGTGGTACTCCCTGGCATGTATGCTATGGTTATGGTGGGTTGGAGCTGGTGTTAAAATGAGTTCTTCATCTGTTTCTGAGCTGCTTTCAGCCTGTTGAATGCATTAAATCAAATGCTTTTAGTTCGTCCACCCTTACACCCTGACATCAGCATTATACATAATCCCCATACTGTTCTCTGTATGTTTCCTAAGGTGTTGACAAAGACAATTTGATTAACAGTCAAGAGCTTTGTTATTAGTTGATTAATTCCTTTGTTCTCCTGACCTTAATGTTTGGTTTAGGGGTGATATTGTAAGGAGAAATTAGATGCTACACACTTGTAAGGGTAAAAAAGGTTAAGAGTGTGTAGGAATTTGCATGGTGGGAATCAGGAAATAGAATATAGGAAGCCTCCTAACAAAAGTTTAGGTTAAAACAATCTCATCTTCTGTAGCTGAGCTGCCTGCAGTTTGTTACATGCAAATGTCATCGAAAAGTCTTTCATGATAATTAAAATTTTTTTGAAGATGCATAGGATTTTTGACTAATTATAATTTAAAAGAACCAAGATCCAGATGTCCAGTGACAAAAATCAAGATGCCATACCAAACCATCAAGTCAGAAATAGGTTAATTAAAGAGTTAAAAAGGTCTCTAACTTTCATGAAAAATTTATGTGGAATAATGTCTTGAAGTTCAGACCTTTGGAAGAGGTGCATGATAATACTTTAAACAAGGTATTCCTCAGGTATGTTTGGTTTGATTTGAATTTACTGTAAAAGGCCTAGGAATCTCACTCTCTAAGGCAAGGGATCACAAAGATTTGACTATGAGTGTGATAAGGACTATGACGGTCACAATTACAGGATTGTGGGAATTTTTTTTGTATGGATGACAAGATTGAGATACCCAACAGGAGAACCTGGAGATGGGTAGTGTTTGCCATTTGATCAATTACCTGAGAATCAGAAGCTGATTCATCATCATCATCATCATCACCAACACTGACACTGGTAAGTTCCCTGTATGTCCCAGGAACAGTTGTCTCTTGAATTGTAGAGTTTGAAGAAAACTCTAACTTAGGATCGATACCCTAAAAAATAAAATTTAAAAAAACCAACTAGTTTATATACTTACATTTTAACATTTACTTAGAAACTGTTGTTGGTTTAAGGGAATTGAATACTGGATAAGCAAATCCTGATGAAAATTTTCAAGTATTGGGTATTAAGAGTGTGATTAAAATACAGTCAGTCATTGTTTACTCCAATGTCATAAACAGCCAGGAAGTTTCATGTCTAAAATAAAACATCCCCCAACATGATGTTTAAAGAAAAGAATATCAACCTCCACAACACAACTTCAACTCAGTACATTATATTTAGCACAATCGATAACTTCAAGATGGTGGCCAGACAAAACAAGGAAGTTGCAGTGTCCTAATGATTAACATTTCTCTTAGAAACTGTTGTTGGTTTAAATTTAGTTTACGGGAAATTCTGACTTAAGATCAGTACCCTGCAAATTCCAAATAACAAATTCATATCGAGATGGACCCAATGTAACAGCATATGTCAGAAATGTTGGTCAAAATTTGAAATCAGTTTGTTCATTGATGTTATAATCTTTGTGCATAACTTGTGTAGCATTCTGGTGTAAGACTGCAGTTAACTTACTGTAAAGTGTACAGTTCTTCCCAGTAACAGCTCCCTCTCCACACCATCTTTGCCTGTCAGGGTTGGTGTAGGATACAGAAATTCCCTAGCTGATTGCTCATAGCGAGCCAGAACTTTTCCTCCTTTAACAACAACAAAATAACTAAAACTTAATCTTTGAAGTTTTAATCAGAATGAGATAATAAGATAATCTTCTCCTTCATAACCCTTTAACTCCCAGATCAAATTTGTGATTCTCCTTACTGCAAACCATACAATTCTTAAAATGTTTGTTCAGAGAATTTAGTATTTTCTCTAATCTCATCACTTGTCTGGTTGATATTGTATCGACATTTATTAGGAGATATTTATACCAGTGGGTTGGAAGGGTTAAGGAATTTGGCCATATATTTCAGTTGTTGGAAGGGTGGCTGACACTAACTGCAGAGTGAATTATTATTCAGCAGATAAGGGTAAACAAAACATGCCAGGCTACATGAATAAACACAGTGTGCCCTCAAGATAGTTTATAGTAGCAGGTGGATGAACAATTATTTCCAAGTCTTTCAACAAGCAGCAAATGTATCTGAAACCTTTAAAATTAACATAAAATTATAATCATGTTTCGGTTTTAATTTAAGTTCTGTTACTCACCTTTATACACATCAGAGTACTGGACGAGTTCAAACAACACATGTTCATCTAAAAAATAATAAATCAGCAAAATATGAATAAGAAACCTGTACTTCCTTCAAGAGAATTTTCCTAGTGCAACTTTGAACGAAATATCTGTGTTTACCTTCCAAAATTCCCATCACATGAGTTGGTTCCCTTGCATTTACGAAAGTCTAAAAAAAATAACGAAACTCAATCATAAATCTGAAGAACCAAGAACGCTTGTGGAAGAGCCAATAAGTTAATTAGGGAAGCGTTGACAATGTTCAGAGAGATGATTAATTATTTATCCAGAGACATCTGTGGACTCGCGTCATATTAATCTTCGTGTACAGTCTGTTCTTTATCAAGTATAGTTTCTACAAATCTCCTACCCTCTTAAAGTACATTCTTTCATTCAGTGCGAGAGGGAACGTCGCAAACACCGACTTGGTCCTCTTCGTCTGTCCCAAAATACAAACCGACAGAAAAAGCATATTCCTGTCGTTCAAATGCCGTGTTCCTGGGCATGTTATCTGTAGAATAACAACAACAAAATCCAGTTGTCGCAGGGCAGGAGCATATCGCACTAATCTGCCATTTTGCGTGCCCTTGTACTTCATATTTTTCAAGATGTTTCAGTCAATGAAGGTCTTACCTGATAGATATCTAATGCAACAGTGCAAGTTAAAGCTTTTCGCGGCATGACGATGGGATTTTAGGTGCAAGAACGGAAAAGGGTCAAACTTTGCTACTAAGGACGCTACAAACTAACTAGTTACCAGGCCTTGGTTCAATATTGATGAATAACTCCGCTGACCAAATTGAACCGAGCCATACCAAAGAGTCTTGGCCCCAGTCTCTAGTTAGTCGAGGGAACTACTGATCATTTTCAATGATTATGCCGCCCATAATAAAGCATACATAGAAACAAAATTAAAATCCAACGGTTTAAGCAACAACAACAACAAAAAGCAACAAAGTGAAAATTTGCATAGGAGCTCTTCGAAATTGGTCATCAAAAAATAGAGAAATTCAGGCTGCTCTGCTCATATATAAAGACTGCCTCCTAGAATCTTATTTCTGCTGTTTCCTTAAATTGTAGCACTTCTTATTGAATACACTACCTTCAGTTTTGAATTAAAATGATTCATCTGCCTTTATACTCACCAAAATTTTAATTGCTCATCATCTTCTTCTGGCGCAATAATCTTCTTTCCTTCCAACATCTTGTGTGACCCCCCCTTCTCCCATACCCCCCCAGAGCCCCTTGGCGCAGAGGCTTCTTCTTCACATCTGACGCCCCTCGGCTCCCTTAGAGAAGCGTCGAGGAACTTTGATGGTCCTTCCTGACCTCGATTTCTTTGGAGGCGAGGCAGCCTCTGCAGCGTCTTCTTGTTCTTCGATCAGTTTGCGTTTCCTTTTTCGTTCCACACGGACTGCGCAAGTGTTGCACGCCTGTAGAAACCAAGAGACATAGATTTGTGAGAATACTGGATAAACGAGTCCTAATGAAAATTGTAAAGTATCGGGTATTGCGAGTGTGATTAAAATACGGAGTCAATTCTTGTCTATACCAATGTCACCAACAGCCGAGAAGTTTCATTTCTAAAACAAAAACATCTCCTAACATTATCTTTAAACAAAAGAAAATCAAACCCACAATACCATTTCAACTCAATACTCTATATTTAGCGTAATCGATAACTTCACGATGGTGGCCAGTTAAAGCTAGGAGGTTATGGTCTTCTAACTGTTAACACCGGAACATGGGAACATGATGATTAATTTATCTGGAGCAAGGTTTATTCTAAGATACCTACTGGGGAGCAAGGTATCCTTTGCGTTTTTCAGAGAAAAGGAAATTATTGATATCCTAACTTTGAAGTAACTTCCGTCATCATACATTTTACCAGGCAGAACAGCATCGAGAGGAACTTTTTAATATTTTCCTAATCGCAACTTGGTAGGTGCGACTGGAATTAGACTTATAGTCAGTGTTGTTCTTCAAAAGCAAACAGATAAACAAAACCTTTTCAGGGGTTTTCTACACTTTCTAACGGATAATTTTGGGGAATAAGTAAATGGGAACCTTTTTCTAGAACTAATTTTCATGAATACACCAAATTTTTATCCGCTTTTCTGGGAAAGCAATGAAGAAACTTCAATTTTTTTTTCCAGACAAAAAGGAAAATGACCCCCCCGCCCTCCTCCCACCCTCCTCCTGTACAAAGCTAAGCTGCTATCTCTGACCTTGATATGATCTTCTTTCTTTTTGTAATGATACCAATGTACCACGCATTCTTCTCGCGTCTGAAATGTATTAGAAAAACATGCAATAACAACAATCGTCAACCATCTATTAACACTTAATCATGTTTGCAAACGATTAGAAACTGTGAGGCAACTGCATTTCAATCTCGAGTCTGGGGTCATTTTGGCTCCTCGTTGCTAAGTAATGCAGCTGACAAGCAACCGATATGATCTTGGGCACGACATTGAATAAATTTCCTCACCGACGTTAGTTATCTCATCATATAATCGTGCTAATTTGTCCCGTTACCTTATTTGGTACTGATTCCGCTGCTTTAAAGAAGTCTTGCTTCTTCCTTTTCAACCTACCGTACAAGACCATACGCATCGGTAAAATGTATTAGATAATACTAAAATGAACGACGGAGAGTTACAATAAAACTGTTTCTTGATTAACACATCTAAAAATTGGTTTATAAGTTTCATTGTCCTTTTTCTGACTTGATATCTCTTTCTGTTTCAAATTAAGTACACATCTGATCAAACTATTCCTTACTGACTCATCGTAGAAAAAATCTTTGCATGAAACAATAAATTATTTAGCAACCAGTTCCTCTTGAAATTGCGATGAACTGGTAAAGAAAAACGCGCAGCGCATCACTGCTAAAAAAATTACCTAAAAACTGCACCTCTACTTTATCTTTGATTAGTCGGGGCGAAATGTACCTTATTATTAATAAACCGCAAACGGAAAGATTATTGTGGAAAGTTCTTGATTGGTCTGGCTTGTCTTGGTGTAAGAAATTCTCGCCTCTTGCATGAAGGACACAATTTGGAAAGGACGATATTTCGCGCAAATTTTTCATAGAGCGATTTGAAATCCAATGGTGATAAATTTTTTTTTTTTTTTACATTTTTTTTTGCAACATTGATTTGTTGCGATTCTACTGTAAAAGGCCGTGGTGAAACCTCCGATTCATACTCACGCAGAACAAAGTTGCTTCTCTTCTTCGAGGTTCCATGATTCTTTCTCTCTCTCTTTTCTCTGTTCTTCTTCTTCAAATGGATTTGTAATGAGCTCTGGTGCACATAAATCAAAGACGCTTGTTACGATAATTTTTGCCCATAGAGCGTAAAACGCATAGAAAATAAATTCGAAGACGGGCTAGAATGCTCGCTCATGATTACGCCAGTCACGCGTAACGACTTAATCATGGCTCACTGTTAACTCTGTTTGACTCAAGGGTGATATCGTAAGGAGAGATTAGTAGACAAAATCCTTAAGGTTTAAGGCTGTTCTCTAAGATTTTGTTGTACTTTTGCTTACATCTTTAAACAACTATGAAAGAGAAGCGAAGTTTTTTCGTTGTCATCATACTCACCCTCTCTCAGCTGTTCTTTTTCTCGAGCTGCAGGGTCCGTGATGACGTCTGGGATAATGGCTTGGTTGTCTGTTACATTCTATGTTATACAACAAGTGATATAAGAAAGAGGTCGAGGAATACTCGTCACACTTATTTATGTTCGCCATTATGTCGTAAGATACTTCAAAAATAGGAAGACTGAAATCTCGCCATGAGTTTTGCTAGGAATTACATAAATTAAACGAACGAACGAAAGAAGTTTGTGGGTGAACAATCAGAAGAACTGAACTGGTGGAGGCCGATGAACGGGTAGGAGGGGAGAGTAGGTTGGTCGATTTACATATAGAACACAGCAAACGATCTGAAATTGTGGAGGATGACACATTGGGCAAGCAAGCTTTCCAATGTAGCCCCGGAATGGGAGAGGTGTCAGAATGTTTATTAGTAATGAATAAATTGCCACTTTTTGGACAAATTTAGGGAAAAGGGCTGACATGGATTCCCAAAGTCTAAGACCTTTGCAACTGTAAAGAAATCATCCCTGACCACCAACAGAGCCTGACAAAATTTAATTTTTTTTCGGTAAGTAGCACATACCTTCCAAATCATAAAAGCCTTGTATGAGCCTCTCCCTCTGCCTCTCGAGTATTTTCTCTCAAGTCTCCAGATTCCTTCTTCATCCATTGGAGGCGGCGTAGGAAGAAGCATATAATCCAAGGGATCCACACATGAATCATTCTTGTTTCTTTGAAAAAGCAAAATATAACTTTTTTGAATAATTAAATGTGCGTCTGACTTAAGTGTATGGCTTTCTGTTAAGCGGTAGAGTGGTTGAAAACTGACTGACCGACCGACTGATTGACCAACTGACTGTCAACATTCAGCCGTAAAATATACATGTCTATGGACTGTTCAAGTTATAATTGCCTTTGCAGAAATGGAAACGTTGGGTGGATCACTTTCCAGTTTTTGCGCTTTCGTTCTCTTGCTACGAAGAGTCCTATATAATCGCATTCCAGTTTTTGCGCTTTCGTTCTCTTGCTATGAAGAGTCCTATATACATAACATGCGATGAACACTGTTAACGCGTCGAATGAAACACTTAACAAGAAAACTCATGCATTTTTCTGATCAGCAAGTTTTCTTTGCTTTTCTTGGTTTTTTAGTTCAAAATTAACTGTGTCAATGGAACCTTTCGGCGAAAGCAAAAGAACTTTGAACTGTACCTTTTCCTTTTATTTGGCAATTGCCGTTCAGGATTTCTTGTAGACGGTCCAGCTTTTTCCATGTCCATCTCTTTCTTTAACTTTTTTTTATAGCGAATTAAAAACTGCTATCGAAATATAGAACGTTGTCGAGTGCGCAGCAATGGTTGCTAAAACTTGACTGTTTTCTCGCAAATTGCTGAAGTAACAGAGATGTCACAATAAAGGAAACGTCATTCTAAAAGATGACGTAAGGGATGCGCGCGGAAGTTGTATTTAACCCGGTCAAAATTTATTTCAAAACTTACCACAAACTTTAAAGAGGTATTTTTCGGCATGATTCATATCGTCATCAATTTTTGTGTTGTTCTTGTGTACTTAAGTTTTACTCGTTACCTTAAAATTACGTTATCGATCTAACAAGTGATAATACTTGCCATTACTGCTATCATTACAGTCATTACAAGAGTTAAACTGGACAACATTTGGAATTAGGTTAGGCTATGTTTATAAACTGATAACTACTCGGCTGTTGACTCTTCCTGATCTCGATTTCTTTGGAGGCGAGGCAGCCTCTGCGGCGTCCTCTTGTTCTTTGGTCAGTTTCCGTTTTCTTTTTCGTTCCGTACGGACCGAGCAAAGGTTGCACGCCTGTGGAAACCATTAGACATAAATTGGTGAGAATACTGGATAAACGAGTCCTATTGAAAATTGTAAAGTATCCAGTATTGTGAATGTGATTTAAATACGGAGTCAGATCTTGTTTACACCGATTTCACAAACAGCCGAGAAGTTTCATTTCTAAAACAAAAACACTCCCCAAAATATGTTTAAACAAGAGAAAATAAACCCACACAATACCATTTCAACTCAATGCTTTAACTTTTAGCGCAATCAATAACTTCATGATGGACGCCTTTGGGTTAAAACTAGGAGGTTACGGTCTTCTTATCATTAACACTGGAACAAGGGAACGGGACGATTATTCTAGGATACCTATTAGGAAGCAAGGTATCCTTTGCGTTTTTCAGAGAAAAGAAAATCATTGATTTACTAACTTTGAAGAAACTTTCCGCCAGCATACATTTTATCAGGCAGAACAGCATCGACTGACAGTTTTTGTATTTTCAAAGTCTCTAATGAAAAAAATTGAACTACTAATATACTGGACGTTTACAGTACTAATAATATACATGGAAAAAAATTACTCAGTTCTGATTGGTTAAGATAAATGCAGTTTTCAGGTAATTCAGTGCAGAAGAGAGTTAATTCAGTGCAGAAGAGGGTTAATTCAGTGCAAAGAAAGAAACAAATCAGACATTCTGATAGGTCAATAATCAAAGAAACTCACAGAGAGCCAATCAAATACGAGCCTTGGATGTCGCAACAAAATTTGAAAATTTGAAAATTTGCGAGCGAAACATTTGCCGGCGTTTTAAGTAGGTTTTCTTTCGCCACCGCAGCTGAAAAACAACTTAAACAACGAAAACATTGTAAAAAGCACTGCTTTTTGGTTGTCCGTTTGGAAAAAGTGGTGTTTAGAAAAGGGAAGTGCCGAGGAAATCGGAAATTACGAGCCGACCCAGCTTAACACTTTGCTCGAGCGATCCAACGCCGAAATTTAAAACAAACATGGTTAAACCTCGGAAACGACGATTCCATTTAATCGAAAGTGATTCGGACACAGACTGAACAATTCCTTGAACTGTTTAGCCGGACTTTGAACTTTTTTGCACCTTGAAGATGTGAAGATATCATTGCATATTATTGTTTTGATCGTACGCACAGTTTGAATAAATTATTTTTTGCACTTGATGCGCGCGCTTTGCTTATGTTTAATTATGATAGACCATCTCGTATTTTTCCATGTATATTATTAACACGTAATCACGTGATTTTTCTCGTGCAATCTGGAATAAACAAGCACTTGTTAATTTTTCCAAAGACCACAAATTGCACTCGCCCATTAGTCTTTGAAAAAATTTACTCGTGCTTATTAATTCCAAATTGCACTCGAAATCATGTGATTACCTATACAAATCACGTTCAAATTGGGGTGTGAACAGCAAAAAACACCCACAAACAGGAAATGTTACGCAAATCCAGTGCAACAAATTGGAAATGTTACGCAAATTCAGCGTAACAAATTAAGCAATGTTCTTTTTTGTTTTTTGTTTTTGGGGCTTACGATTTAAATTTAATTTGGTTCAATTTGGTTCATTTTGTTAAATCCCTGATGAAGTCTGTGTGATCAGACTAAACCGGTCGGATAATAAACTAAGTTGACAAGATCTGTTGCTATGTGCTGCTCACTAGTTTTTATTTAAAAAAATTTAAAAATTAATACGTTATCACATGTTTTTTCTCGAGCAATTTGGAATAAATAAACACTTGTTAATTTTTCCGAAGACCACACATGGCAAATTGCACTCGCCCTACGGGCTCGTGTAATTTTTCTTAGTCTTTGAAAAATTTACTCGTGCTTATTTATTCCAAATTGCACTCGAAATCATGTGATTACCTATACTGATAAGTGTCTGACTTTCTGTTAAAGCGGCACAGTGGTTAAAACTGATTGACCGAATGAATGATTGACCAACTTATCGTCAACTTTGAGCCGTAAAATATACATGCCTATGGACTGTTCTTTTGTAATTTCTTTTGCAGAAAAGGAAACGTTCGACGGATCACATTCCAGTTTTTGCGCTTTCGTTCTCTAGCTACGAAGAGTCCTCTATACATAACATGCAATGCTGTTGACTCATCGAATGAAATACTTGAGAGGGAAAATCAAGCATTGTACTTTTCAGCAAGTATTCTTTTGCTTTTCGTGGTTTTTCAGTTCGGGAAGAATTGTGTCAATGCAACCTGTCGGCGAAAGTATAAGAACTTCGAACTGTACCTTTTACTCTTATTTGGCAATTGCCGTTCAGGATTTCTTGTAAACGGTCCAGAAAAAAATTTTATCCGATGAAGATTTTTTTATCGAAAATAAATATATTTTGTTAACGAATGAAAATATTTTTAGTCGAATGAAAATTTTATAAACCAAGATTTTTTAGCGAACAATTTTTTTATGAAATTATATTTTGTCGAATAAAAATATATCTTATCGAATAAAGATATTTTTTATCGAATAAATATATCTTTTATTACATTTTGCACCATTACAGCAACTATAAAAGAATTAAAGGAAGAATGTTTCGGCGTGAATCGTGCAAAAAGCGTCCCTATGGCACGTGCCTCTTAAAATGTTAAAATTTTGGAGAAATCGGAAAAGCAAACACAATGCGCAATAATAAATTTTTATAAATCATCTCTTCCAAAAACAAGCTCCAGTGAAAGAAGACCATTTAAATAAGTTATTTTCAACGAAAAAAGCGATAAATGCATTTTAAGTTTCTACTCTGAAATCAAGATAAAAAATAAAATTGGTAAATTTTTTCGCACGTTTGCAAACAAGCTACAAGGAATTTATAAATAGAAGCAAGAGGAAAGTATTCAAGGACGTTTCCAGGTGAAAGCTTTCATTAAAGCAGCTTTTGATTTTCGTTTTACTGCAAAAAAACGTGCTAGTTTCTCCTGTCCACAGAATGCACTGCCACTTATTTAAATGTCAGTTAATAAGAATAGCGTCTATTGTGTTATGCCCCGTGGCTATTCTGTAGTTGTGTAAATTAGTGTTAACAGTAGAGTTGAAAACATGAATCGGCCACCGTAGAGTGAAAAGCTGACGTTTCGAGCGTTAGCCCTCACCAATCACTCTCACGAAGGATGAAAATGGCCAATTTCGCAAAATATTAACTCTTCTGAAATTACTACTTTGCGAAGTGAATAAAACTCCTTCTTATCAATTGAATCTTGAAATCTTCATAATGTCGCTAGGCCTCGCTAGAAGTCCGAAAGTTGGGAGGACATAAGCATGTTCCGAGTTACTATTTTGCGAAATCGACTAATTAATAGTCCATTTTGCAAAATAGTATCTCTCCTAAAATTGCTATTTTGCGAAATCGTCTTTGCAGCGTTTATTTTGACTACCGCCTGCTGCGACCGTTTAGCTTGACTTCTCCCTTATTCGGGCATGTCGGTTACAGCGACTGCCGACTTTCATCAAACTTTGCTACGCACTAGATAACGTTCTATATTTCGATAGCAGTTTTTAATTCACTATATAAAAACAAAAAAAGGTACAAGAAAGAGATGGACATGGAAAAAGCTGGACCGTCTTCAAGAAATCCTGAAAGACAATTACAACTTGAACAGTCTCTCAGGTCTCTCAAGAACTACAGTTTCTCAAGCACTCAGGACTTTTGTTTGATGCTTAATAGCAAAGTTGACCCGGAACAATGGACCATTTCCTTATACGAGGCATGCATATTTTACGGCTGAATGATGACGGTTCATTCACACGATCATTCAGTCAGACATTCAGTCATCATTCAATAGTTAGTTTCTAAGTCCGTCAGTCAGTCCGTCAACCACTCAAGCGTTTCATTCGCGAGTCAATAATAGCGTTCATTCATTTTGTGTTAATAGCGTTCGCACTCGATAACGTTTTATATTGTGATAGCAGTTTTTAATTTGCCATAAAAAAAAAGTATAAAAAAGAGGTGGACATGGAAAAAGCTGGGCCGTCTTCAAGAAATCCTGAAAGGCAAGTGCCAAATAAGAGGAAAAGGTACAGTTCGAAGTTCTTATACTTTCGCTGAAGGTTGTTTTGACACAATTCTTCCCCAACTGAAAAACCACGAAAAGCAAAAGAAAACTCGCTGAAAAGTACAATGCATGATTTTCCTTCTTAAGTATTTCATTCGATGATTCAACAGAGTTCCGATTGCATGTTATGTATATAGGACTCTTCGTAGCTAGAGAACAAAAGCGCAAACACCGGAATATGATCCACCGAACATTTCCATTTCTGCAAAGGCAATTACAACTTGAACAGTCCATAGGCATGTCTATCTTACGGCTGAATGTTGACGGTCAGTTGGTCAACAGTCGGTTGGTCAGTCAGTTTTCAACCACTCTGCCACTTTAACAGAAAGTCAGACACTTAGCTCAGTTATTTATTCAAAAAAGTTAT